TCATTTGTCTCACAGGACAACTAATCAATTCCAGAGTCCATCAATCACTTTAGTTGTATACTGGTCTGGTCTTGCTTAAAGAAGGTCCAGATGGCTGCCTGTGTAAGTGGGATTAATAAGATTCTGATAGATTACATAGCATCAAACTACAAAATATAACAGGGAAGATCAAATGTTATTGCAGGGTGGGTTGGATACTGTACACGTTTCATTTGCTGTATTTTTAAATCATGTCCTAATTTCTCAATTTATGTGCCAACGTCGAGGTGAAACCTTCTCAGTTATACAAGTCACTGAAAGTGACTCCCTGTTAAGTGAGTCAGTATATGTAGTACAGAAGCATTTGACTCTTTGCAAAGCCCTATACTTATTAACCAGAGCTTTTTTTGCCAGTCTGCAGTTTAAATGAAACACAACTGATCTCAAGACCAGAGTCACAAGATCTGTTACTCTCTTGTTTCTATAGTTCCAAACTCAGATCTAGTAGCATTGGTCTCCCTTCCCGATTTGCCATTTTCTTCTGCAAAAGCAAACAACCTGTACCTAATTCCATAGTTAGGTGCTTTTAGCTCCCACCATCAGCCCTGTGCCCTGAGTCTCCACTGTGGGGACTCTATGCTTAGTAACAATACTAATAAAACTGATAGTTACAAAGTAACTTATTTTGTGCCACATACTATTCTAGGATGCCTATGTATAAGTATTCATATAATCCACAAAAATGCTATATGAGAAAGCATAATATACTATAATCATCCCCATTTTATAGATATGTAACTTGTCCAAGGTCACAGAGCTAATAAGAGATGGAACCACCATTTGAATTCCAGGCTCCATAATTTTTTGTACTTAATTTAGCCTCACCTTATATCTCCTCCATTATACTACAGAACAATTAACTAGCTTCAGAATGAGAAATTGGTGTCAGGGCTCTGGAATATTAACACAGAGATCTGTACCTATGACATTATATTGTCACTTTCTGTGAAAGAGTGGAAATAAAGGTCAGAACTAAAACAGTGAGGGAGCAAGCTCAGAATTGGCCCCAGTGGCCCTTGGCCCAGGAACATTTACAATAAAAATAAAATGGGCCCTTAACTTGTCACCTACAATGCATATTAGTCAGGAAGCTGCCACAACAATGGAGCCCAAGCCTTAGTAAAGGGGTTCATTAGATACTGATTTTCCTAACCTTCAGAAATGTGGAGGGCTTCCCTGGTGGCGCAGTGGTTAAGAATCCACCTGCCAATGCAGGGGACACGCTCACGTGCCACAACTACCGAAGTCCGTGCGCCTAGAGCCCGTGCTCCACAACAAGAGGAGCCAAAGCAACGAGAAGCCCACGCACCACAACGAAGAGTAGCCCCTGCTCACCCCAACTAGAGAAAGCCCGCGTGCAGCAACGAAGACCCAACGCAGCCAAAAATAATAAATAAATTTTTTTAATGTGGAAAAAATTATAAGTTTATATATTAAAGTATCCAAAACAGACCTTCAAAATACATTTTTATGTTCTTTTTAATGGTTCTATACAAGAAAGCTTTTCCTTTCATCCAAGTTTTCCATTTGATGTTTCTAAAATTATAAAACCTACTGTCACTTTCACCTCAGCTGAACATTAATTCTGCCACGAAACTGCAATTAACCTCAATTAAAGCACAATTTTCTCTTCGAAAAATAAAACACCAAATATTAAATTTCACCAAAGTACAAGCAAAATGTGATTACACAAACTTCAACAAATAGCCTGTTTTCACTGCTGTAACTGCATTCTTATACTTAAGAAACAATAGGGACTATATCTGGTCCTTCACTGGAATAAACGAACATTTCATTATACAATAACTTTTATCATGATCTAGTTTGTTATACTGGAATCGTTACAGAATGAATTCTCTATTATAAGAATATGACTAGTTGCTGTGATTTCTGATCTACTGTACTAATAACAAAACTACAGTTTGTAACTGAAAGGCTTTCCGTGGCTCTCTCACGTTCATGTTCCTTACTGTTTCATATCTTAACAATATGTTCCAGAACACAACGATTTAGATCCTATCATAAGAAGACTAATACTTGGATGACTTAATGAAATAAGACCAAGACTAACCAGTTTTGCCAATAGCAGAGGTTCATATTTCACTCAACCAATAAGGTTTATTAAGCATACTCAAATGTAGATGCCAAAAATACCAAAAACATACTATTCAAAAGTGAAGAAGCAGGCTTCCCTGGTGGCGCAGTGGTTGAGAGTCCGCCTGCCGAGGCAGGGGACACGGGTTCGTGCCCTGGTCCGGGAAGATCCCACATGCCGCAGAGCGCCTGGGCCCGTGAGCCATGGCCGCTGAGCCTGCGCGTCTGGAGCCTGTGCTCCGCAACAGGAGAGGCCACAACAGTGAGAGGCCCGCGTACCACAAAAAAAAAAAAGTGAAGAAGCTGAGAAGCACAAATATCCACGATATTTCGTCTCATAATAGGTTCATATTAAATGTGTGTTGAATTAAAATCTCTATGAAGATAAAGCTATATTATTTTGTCATTTTTCTCAAGATCAAAATTCTAAATATTGATTTAAATCTGAGTCACTTCTTTAGGAATTGGGTAGAGAATAAGCAGGTAGGTTAACTTTTCCAGTTTAGTTTAACTCTTAGGAATACTCCAATTACCCAGATATCTACTATCACATCAATAGGAGTACATTTGATTCACTTTCTGTTCTGCAGAGCTACTGTGATCAGTCATGTCACTGGATATTACAAAAGAAACTGTATTCAACGTGTCAGTTTGAAAAATACTAGAGTCTGGGAGCCCTTAAGGAAATCAGTACACAAAATAAAGATCACTATTTATAGATAAGTGATTGATATTATTAGAAAGTTAAGTATAGTGATTTTAAAAACACAAAGTTAAGAAACTATCTCCATTTAATTAACTAACTAGGAAAGTGGCCTATATATTTCTTTAGGAAAAGAGGTGAGGATGGGCATGACTGATTTATGATAGGGCCAATAGGCTAACTGTGTGAGCCAGTCACTAAACTTTCAGCTCCTTGGGGAAGCAGCTGTGGATACCTCCCAAGCTCTGGGCATATTTACTAGGTACCTACTAAGTTCTGGGAACTTCCCCAGATACTGCGAATATACAGATGGATAAAATACTACCCTTGCTCTCCAAAAACTAACAGTTTAGCAGAAAGGACAAATTTTTAAAAATTATAATCCAATGTAGCATAATATCACAGATGCTATAACAAAAGTGTGAATGAAAGACTATGGGGGGCTTCTCTGGTGGCGCAGTGGTTGAGAGTCCGCCTGCCGATGCAGGGGACACGGGTTCGTGCCCCAGTCCGGGAGGATCCCACATGCTGTGGAGCGGCTGAGCCCGTAAGCCATGGCTGCTGAGCCTGCGCATCCGGAGCCTGTGCTCCGCAACGGGAGAGGCCACAACAGTGAGAGGCCTGCGTACCACAAAAAAAAAAAAAGACTATGGGAACACAGAGAAGGAATGACTAACCTCCCCTCCAAGAAAAATGACTCTAAGGGTTTACTAACTTGATTTGAACATTTAATAAACTTTGATTAATATGGTTAAGGTTCTAATACGCCATTTTTTAGAAGCTCTAAGTAGAGAATATACAAATTAAGAATCCCCCACACATGTTCTGATTCTATAAGGGTTAAGGGGAAGGGGGAGTTAAACTCTGAAAATGTCTTTTAAACTGTGCTTCCTCAAAACTACATGGGCTTCTCAGAGCTTTCAGGGTACCTCAAGGGATCAGGGTGGCAAATGTACTCCAGGCCAGCAGCATTCTTAAAGGGTATCTTTATCCCCCTCAAACCTCCATCAGTCTTCCACTATATCACCCCAAGTAGACATTTAACCTTAGTAAAAAATGATGTGCTTGCTATGCAAATAGATTCAAGACAGGGCCCTTAGTATTAGCTGGTCATTAACTAGAAACTATGAACAGTTGAAGTTTTTGATTCATAGGGGTATCAATAGCTTTCCTTCTAGAATGGTACCTGGGAGTTCTTATCACTAATTATTTATGTGGTGAATAATGTCAGCAACTCTTTTGCAAGAGTGAAGCATAAAATTTTGGTACAATTTCCTCTTCATTCTATGAAGATAGATATTTCCCTTCAATTTAGGTGAACTCAATTTTCCACTTGAAAATTAGAGCTCATTTATTTCATGTTAATAATAAGTAAGAAAAGTAAAGCTCAGATGACACAGAAGGGTAAGAGCATCAGAAGTTCCTATTTCTTGTTTTTGCTTGTAAAGTAACAATCTTAGAAGAATGTGTCACATGGCTTTAAAGCAGGATAGAATCCTTTTTCTGATTTACACAGTGTGTAAAGAAAACAATAATCCAAGAAATTTCACACATAACATACAAAATTTAAGGACCTTTGTTAAATAATGCAAAATGACCTTTAAAATTTTTTTAATTTTGTTAAAAATACATGACATAAAATTTATCATCTTAACCATCTCTAAGTGTCCGGTTTGGTAGTATTAAGTATATTCACATTGTTGTGCAACCAGTCTCCAGAACTTTTTCATCTTGTAAAGCTGAAATGATTTTTAACTTGTAGCTAGAATAAATAAACTACAGAAATTAAAATATTTAAAAGAAAGAACGATATTTTGAGGAAAACTAATGAGAACAACAACAAAAATCCACAGCTTTAGATTGAGACACAAAACCTTGCCCTACCAGATACTTATGTGGGAGAAAGGTTACTACCTGACACTGATTCAGATACTTACAGATTTTAAAGATTATACACATAAAAATTTATTTCCTGCCATTTATTATCCTCCTAGAGATACCACCAAATCGGTTTCATGTTAAGAAAAATTCTTCAAATGAAAGTTTTGGGTATTAAATAAATAAATAAATTTATAAACACACACACACACACAAATGTATACATACACACATACTATACATATATGTATATACCCCTATTGTTGAAGACCAGAAAAGAATTTACCTGATGATTTCTTCGTGATACAGAGAACTAACAACTGGCCCACCAAAACCCGTATTTGCTTCTTTTCCTTTCTTCTCTGGTGACTGTGGTCGGGGGTGGGGGGGGGGGAATTGGTGGAAAAAAGACACATGGATTAAAGCAGTGTGCATTTAAACCAGTTACAAAACACTACCCTGTTAAGGAACACTAATATTTGATGATCCACCATTTCTCTAAGGCCCTAGTGACAATTTTAGGATGACATCAGAAAGGCAAGAGGACTCTCAGGTCATCACAGCAGCAGAATGAATACCCTCTAGCAAGCTAAGGTTATTCCACTACTGTCTTCTGGAGCCACCTAAGAGCCATTCCCCTAGCTGATTATGTTAGCTATGTTCATTGTGGAAAACAGAGACATTCAGTGTGGAAAAATGAAAACAAAATACGAAATATAAATACCAGACCTGAATGTGATCAGGAAAATCATATCTAGGTTAACAAAATTAAAGTTCCCAAATAAGAAACTAAATTGTAATAAAACTTAAAATTTAACCATAAAAAAGAAAATATTTTTAGGTGGCAAGAAGGATGAGAAGGTAGAAGGGAGAGAGGAAAGGGGTTGCGATCTAAAATAAAAGAAAAAAAGCAAACTTATGGAAACACTTTCCAAAATCAAGTATTCAGTAGGCTCTGTCCCTCTATGTTCTCAAAAAGCACAAGGTTAAGATTAAATTGAAAAATAAGATTCTTCCAAAACATGTATGTAGAAGCAGTGAACCTGGATATTACTGTTGTCTGAAAGATCAAATTGCAACCTGTGCAAAAGCCCATATCTCTTGCAATATTGACAGTTTTTAGGCCAGGACACCCTACAAAAATAAAAACTCTGATTCTGAACATAAGTATTATCTTAGAGTCAAAATTACTTTTATTATTTAATTTGACTGCAAAAATAATTAGTTTCACTTCAGAAAAATATAGACAGCTCCCCTATACATGTTTTTCTTTTCTTACTTTAAAGAAGGGGTTTTGCTTTATTGTTGTTACTTTTTTTGTTTGTTTCTTTTGGTCTGTGAACCACTGGGCTGAGGAAAAGATCCTGTAGGCAGCATATTCTGTCAGTTCGTAACACCATTAGAGGAACTAAAGTTTCAAGAAATGGTGCAGATTTTTGAGGTGAAGTCGGTTAACAATTTATGACAGAAACAAAGGTATAATGTCATAAACAACAACTACCATCATGATTAAATAATAAAGTATATAAAGTACAATAGCCTGATGTTGGCAAAAAAGAAGCACAAAGTAAATGCAAGTTCCCTCTCTCCTCTGAGAACCAGTCTTAGAGCATAAATGCTGCAAAGAATTTTCAGGATAGAGAATGTTTTCCCTTATACTAAAAAAGCACAATCCAAAGGGAGAACTTACTTTATTTAATCCAATTACATTCTGAATACATACTCCATTAGTAGGATAAAGTTGAAATATACTTGCTGCCCAAGAGATGCTTGCTAAATGAATAACAAAATTGGAAGTGAAAAAACTGGATACCAAAGGAAAAAAAGAGGGCGAGAGAATCAAGTATACAGGGTCAAGCACAGTTTCCTGAAAAAGAACTGACTCCAAGAAGATAACATAGCAGAAAATCTAGATGACCTTAGGTTTGCAATCACTTTTTAGAAACAACACCAAAACCATGATCCATGAAAGAAAAAAACTGACGTTAGTGTTTATTAAAATTAAAAATGTCTGCTCTGTGAAAGACACCATTAAGAGAATGAAATGACAAACCACAAAATGGGAAAAAAACCTTTGCAAACACAAATCTATTAAAGGACTGGTATTCAAAATATATCTTAAAAGACTCTTAAAACTCAACAATAAGAAATAGAAAATTACAGGCCAATATTGATGGTGAACATAGATGTAAAACTCCTCAAGAAAATATTAGCAAACCAAATTCAACAAAACATTAAAAGGATTAAACACCATGATCAAGTAGGATTTATCCTAGGAATGCAAAGATGGCTCAACACCCACAAATCAATCACTGTGATATATCACATTAACAAAATTAAGGATAAGATCATATGATCATCTCAACAGATGCAGAAAAAGCATTTGATAAAATTCAATATCTGTTCATGATAAAAACTCTGAACAAAGCAGGTACACAGGGAATGTACCTCAACATAATAAAGGCCATACATGACAAGCCCCCAACTAACATCATACTCAACAGTAAAAAGCTGAAAGCTTTACCTCTAAGATCAGGAAAAAGACAAGGAAGCCCATTCTTACCACTTTTATTCAATGTATTCGAAGTCCTAGCCACAGCAATTAGACAAGAAAAAGAAATAAAGGCACCCAAATTAGAAAGGAAGAAATAAAATTATCTCCTTTCATAGACAACATGATCATATACACAGACAACCCTAAAGACATACTCCCCCCCCACCAATCAATCTGTTAGAGGTAACAAATGATTCCAGAAAAGTTACAGGATACAAAATTAACATACCAAAATCATGTCATGTCTGAGGGAGACAGAAGATAAAAAAGTTTTCTAATATTAAAAAGTGATGAGTGCTATAGAAAAAAAATTAGCATAGGGAAGAGGGTTGGAATTTTAAATAAGATGGTCTGGGAGGGCCTCACTGAGAAGGTCATTTGAATAAAGACATAAAGGAAGTAAACAAGTGAGTCCTGCACATATCTGGGGGAAATTGTCCCATGAATAGGAAACAGCCATTGCAAAGGCCCTGTGGTGAGGGTATGCTTAGAATGTTAGAGAACTGAGGTGTTCATGTCTTTTGCCAGAAAGCAATTAATGTATTTTAGGGGGCAAGACTAGAAGTAAAAACACATGGTTGTTCACAAGACAATCATAGTTTCTATCAGTGTCATTCACTGAAACCCTTAACATGAAGTAGGCAATTCAGAATAGATACCTGTAGTTTGCTTGGTAATTATTTGCTGTGAAAATACATACTACTAATTAGGAGTTATATGGTATTGGAAAGGGATGAGTATATTTCTTTCACTTAGTTAACAGCCTTTATTTTTTATTTATTTTATTTATTTATTTTTTCCCAGTACATGGGCCTCTCACTGTTGTGGCCTCTCCCATTGCAGAGCACAGGCTCCGGACACACAAGCCCAGTGGCCACGGCCCATGGGCCCAGCCACTCCGTGGCACGCAGGATCCTCCCGGACTGGGGCACGAACCCGCATTCCCCGCATCGGCAGGCAGACTCCCAACCACTGCACCACCAGGGAAGCCCCAGCCTTTATTTTTTAGAGTAGTTTTAAGTTTAAAGAAAAATGAGCAGAAGGTACAGAGTGTTCCCATATACCCCTCTCCTCAATTTTCCCCTATTATTAACATCTTGCATTAGTGTGGTACATTTGTTACAATAGATGGGCCAATATTAACACATTTTTATTAGCTAAAATCCACAGTTTACATTAGGGTTTATCTTTTGTGTTGCATATGGGTTTTGACAAGTGTATAATAACGTATCCACATTACAACATCATTCAGGATAGTTTCACTGCCCTAAAATTCCTACGCTCCAGTTATTCATCCCTCTCTCCCTGAAGCCCTGTCAACTACTGATCTTTTTACTGTCCTCATAGTTTTACCTTTTCCAGAACATCATACAGCTGGAATCATACAGTATGTAATCTTTCTTTCACTTAGCAATATGTATTTTAAGTTCCTTCATGTCTTTTCATGGTTTGATAGCCCATTTCTTTAAAAAAAAAAAAAAAAAAAGAAAAAAAACTCTTAGCTGTTGGGGAAAAAAACCATACAACTTACCATCTTAACCATTTTTATGTGTAAAGTTTAGTAGTGTTAACTATATTCTACCTCCCCTGTATCAAAACAAAAAATTTTTCTCCAATCTTCACCATAAGAATGTGGTGGGTCCTGGGGGTCAAAACCCATGAAAGCAGGGGGCCTTCCTAAGGCTGAGCCCCTGGAAGCTTTTAGCTCTTGAGCTAGTCCACACTCACTCTGCAGCAATTCGTCAATTACCATTTAAGTGTTCCTACCAGTTCACAGTTCAAACAGCTTTTGTTCCCAATAAGCAGATCTCGAGTGTGATTCTATGTATTCACCTGTCACCATTTGGGGAGTGGCAGTTTGCCCTGTGACCTCAAATCTCAGATTAATCTAAGAATAGTCAATGATTTTCAGTTTGGTCAGATTTTTGCTGTTGTTGAAGACAGGAGAGATGATTTCCAAGTTCTTTACATGCCAGAGCTGAAACTGGAAGTTCAACGGTCTTTTGAAGACATTTTAAAATGAAAAAAAAAAGGCTTATATTTACCCACATATTTGTCACTTCCAGCTGTCTTCATTCCTTTAAGCAGGTCTAAATTTCCATCTTATACACTTTTCCTTTTGCCTGAAGAAGTTCCTTTAACATTTATTGTAGTGCCTGTCAGTCAGCAATGAATTATCTCTGCTTTTGTTTGCCTGAAAAATCTTTATTTTACCCTTTTTTTTTAATATTGACATGAGATTCACATAATATAAAATAAGCCATCTAAAAATATACAATTAGCACAGGGAACTCTACTCTGTGCTCTTTGGTGACCTAAATAGGAAGGAAATGCAAAAAAGAGGAGATATATGTATACATACAGCTGATTCACTTTGCTGTACAGCAGAAACTGACACAGCACTGTAAATCAACTCTACTCCAATAAAAAAAATTTTTTTAATAAAAAATAGACAAAATAAACATAGTTTCCCCCTTTTAAAAAACAAAATATATATATACAATTGAGTGGCATTCAGTACACTGACAATGTTGTACAACCACCAGCTCTATTTAGTCTCAAAACATTTCCATCATCCCAAAACAAATCCTTGACCCCATTAAGCAATCACTCTCATTCCTCTTCCTCCTAACCCTACCAACCATCCATCAATCAGCTTTCTGTCTCTATGGATTCACCCATTCTGGATACTTCATATAAATGGAATCACACAACATGTGATCATACGTGAGCATGTATCAGTGCTTCATTCCTTCCTATGATTAATACTCTAATGTGTGTATATATATATATATATATATATACTCTGTATTAT